GAAAGGAAATTTTAAATATTCTAATTAAATTACAATCTCTTCCAATTGTTTATTTTTCAACGAAAAAGCAAAATCTCCAACTTTGGGTTTAATTAATTTATGAGGAACTTGTTTGGATTGATAGAAATATTCCTTAAAATTATTTCAAAATTAAATTAATTAAAAAATCATTACAATAGAAATTTTATAAAATTTCTCCTTTGCAAGTTCTCCCTCATATTTAACAATAAAATCACGAAAATGTAAATTTGTTTGTTTAACTGAACATAAATCTTCATAATTTAGGAATTTAAAAATATAAAGTTTAATTTCTGTAGGCAAAGAATAAAACATTTTTTCAAGAAAATCTAATAAAGCACTAAAAATTTAAGTTAAAAGTGGGCCTAACTACAGTTTCCGTACCAGGCTCAGAACTGGACGATTTATATGTCATTTGACGACCCAGCTCGACGAGATCATTCAAATGACATATAAATCGTCCAATTCTAGCCTGGTACGGAAACTGTAGTTTAGCCTAAAAATGATTTAAAAAATATAAAATTTGTCAATTACTAAACTAAAAAGACAAGGGATCATTCCAAAAGCTGAAAAAAATTTTTGGATATAGTGTAGTTCACCGGAGGTAAAGTTCGGGACACATATGTCATTCGATTCGTCTCGGCGAGCTGAGTCGAACGGTACCACTCAAAATTTCAGGAAATGATTCTGGACCGAGTTATAGGTCCCGAAATATCGAAAAACCAAAGGGGGACCAAGCACTTTTTTGGGGTGAAAAATTCGAATATGTAAATTATTACTCATTCGAAAGAGCTCGTCGAGTTGAGTCGAATGACACCAAATCAACGAAATCCGACTTGATTGGACAAAGTTATGATCTTTTATTTTAGCTCCTTACCTATGGCATCTGTGGATATTTTTGCTGCCACGGAGGCCCCAAATACGTCCAGAGCAAGCGAGATAGGACTAGGTTTATGTTACGAGCCCAGACCCAGCGCCCGTAGACTCCCCGCGAGGCGCATGCCGCAAAACCCCGCGCGAAGCGCGCGTGGTTTAGCACAAACGCCTCGCCTACGCCCCATAGGTTTAGGTTTTTTGTATCATAACTTTGTCTAATCTTGTTCAATCACGGTGATTTTGGTGTCATTTGACTCAGCTCGTCGAGCTCTTTCGAATGAGGTATAATTTGCATATTCGAATTTTTCACCCCAAAAAAGTGCTTACTCCCCCCTATGGTTTTTCAATTTTTCGGAACTTATAACTCGATCAAGAATAATGAGGAGAGTAGAAGGGCGTTAGACAAAATTTGGACAAAATGTCATTTTTAGCAAAATGACATTTGATGAGTCCACTAAAATGAAATTTGGGGGAAAACTTCTTTTAAATGTGTTTAAAAATATTTAAAAATAAATTGACAGGCTTTAACCTGAAAAAATTAATGCAAAAAATATAAAACAAAAAATAATTTTATTTAAAAAGTCAATAAAAGACAAAAAATTTTAAAAGATATTTTCTCCAATAAATCAAAAACTTTGTTTCCCTCCTCTCAAATTCTCTACTCTTTAAATATTTTGATTTCAACGTCAAACCCATAATCATCACTGTTACTTTCTTTATTGCAAAATGAGAATTTCATTTTTGGATTGTGAATATTTGCAATTTGATAATTTATATATTTAACTCCATTTGATTTTTTAACTTCAACTTTCTCTGCCCTTTTACTTAATTTAAATCTTTTGGGATTGAAGAAATTGAGAATAATAATTGGTATTGAACAGTCTTTGGATGTTGTTATATTCTAAAAAATTTTAAAATTTATTTTTAATTTTTCTGACAAACTTCAATAATCTGTTCATAAAGCACGCTCTTATAATTATTCAATTTTTCTGTATCATTATCAAACACCAATTTAATTTTTTGAAATTTTTCTCCATTTATTAAAATTTTAAATAAAGTTTTTCCATATTTTTCGATAAAGTCATCATCTTGAAAAAAACTAATTTTAAGCTTTTCGCCAACTAAATTATTCAAAATAAATCCAAATATTTTCCCAATGTTGTCGTCAATATATATTTTACATTTTTGAAAAATATAAAATTGTTTAGCATTTCCAAATAATAATTGAATTAATTCTGGATTGAATATAAAGTCTTGAAAAATTCCACGTTTAAAAGAACATTTAATCAATTTATTTAGATAGAAATAAACAATTTTAATGTCATCTTTGTTTTTAATAATTGTTGGAAGTTCAAGTTGATAATGACGGGTTTTATCGTTGTAAACTAAAAATTTATTTATTTATGAGCAATCACGCGGTACTAATCAGGGATGCTCGAAATTTCATCCTTCCTGAAATATATCCGGATACACTCTGTTCCAAAAAGATACGACCACCCTTATTTTTCACTGTAACTTGATGAAAAATTAACAAATCTAACTCAAATTTTAACACATTATATATTTCTACAATATTGTTCAAATCTATAAATATCACAGTTGTCAGTTGATAGATAAAAAATTTATCGTTTAAAACCCGAAATTTAGGTGTTCCGAAATAATACGACCACTTGATAGTTTTATACTAGACCACTTGATAGTTTTTATCTATCAATGACAACTGTGATATTTATAGATTTAAACAATATTGTAGAAATACATATTGTGTTAAAATTTGAGTTAGATTTGTTGATTTTTCATCAAGTTACAGTGAAAAATAAGGGTGGTCGTATCTTTTTGGAACAAATATCGGGAGTTTTAGGAGAGCAAAATAGATTAGAGATTAGAAGGAGGGAGGAAGATATTGTGAGGATCCACAGGATACCGGAGGCACAAATTAAGATTGATGGGATTTAAAATGATATATGTGAAGATTTAAGTGACTCCTTAATCCTCGATATCTCTCTAACTCACTGATATCCCTTCAAACCACTTTTAATCCTCTAATTAACGGTATAATTTCGGAAAACGAACAGATCCGAAATAGGTCAAATTATATGTCATTCGAAAGAGCTCGTCGAGTTATGTCGAATGGTGAAAAAATTTTTGTGCGGACTCATTGAGGGGCTGAGATATAGGTCCGCGAAAATCGAAAAACCATAGGGGGGACCAAGCACTTTTTTGGGGTGAAAAATTCGAAAATGCAAATTATACCTCATTCGAAAGAGCTCGTCGAGCTGAGTCGAAAGACACCAAAATCATCGAAATCTGACTTGATTTGACAAAGTTATGATCGTTTATTTTAGCTCCTTACCTTTGGTATCCGTCGAGGTTTTTCCTGCTACGGAGGAAGCAAGATAACCCATTACAGCGATAATTGGAATAGGACAATGTTACGAGCCCAGACCCAGCGCTCGTAGACTCCCCGCGAGGCGCGTGCCGCAAAACCCCGCGCGAAGCGCGGGGTTTTGCACAAGCGCCTCGCCTACGCCCCATAGGTTTACGTTGACCATTTTTAGCCTCTATCTCGGCTCAGAATTAAGATCTCGAGTTGATTTTGGTGTCTTTCGACTCAGCTCGACGAGCTCTTTCGAATGAGCTATTATTTGCATTTTCGAATTTTTCACCCCAAAAAAGTGCTTGGTCCCCCCTATGGTTTTTCGATTTTCGCGGACCTATATCTCAGCCCCTCTATGAGTCCGCACGAAAATTTTTTCACCATTCGACATAACTCGACGAGCTCTTTCGAATGACATATAATTTGACCTATTTCGGATCTGTTCGTTTTCCGAAATTTTTCCTAATTAACTTGCGGCTGTCAAAAATTTTTTTAATTGCGTAAATCCCTGGTCAACAATTCCCGGTTCTTCTAGTATAGGATAAATACAAAAGCAGGATATAGGAAAAAACTGACCTTTAGTTAAAAATATATAACTTAAGTGTGAAAATTGCTCATCCAAACATAAAGGAATTGGTTGTTTAAATCCGTTTTTAAACTAAAAAAGAAAGTAAATCATTAAATATATTAATCTCTTTACCTTCTTTTCAAGTTCTTCACTCAATAAAAAATCAACATTTTCAGGTTTAATCAATTTCGGAGATCCTCCTCTCATTAGATCCACATCCTTAAATAAACTTAAAAATTTAAATTAATCAAAAACGGTACAATATCTATTTCATAAAATTCCTCCCGAGCAAGTTCTCCTTCGAATTTATTAATAAAATCACGAAAATGTAAATTTGTTTGCTTCATTGAACATAAATCTTGATAATTGAGGAATTTAAAAATATAAAGTTTAATTTCTGTAGGCAATGAATAAAGCATTTTTTGAAGAAAATTTAATAAAGCACTAAAAATTAAGTTAAAATAATTTTAAAATCCATAAATTTGTCAAGTACTAAACCAAAATAAAAAAACAAGGGATAATTCCAAAAACCGGAAAAGTAGTTTTGCTAACAAGAAAAGTTATTCAAACAGCGGAAATACTTAAAAACCTTAATAGGCGCCAAAATTAAAATAAGAAAAATTGGAGCATTATTGTGAAACAATAAGAGAAAGCTAAAATGAGGAGAGTAGAAGAGCGTTAAACAAAATCTGGACAAAATGTCATTTTTAGCAAAATGACATTTGATGAGTATTTCCAGTTCATCGCCAGTCTTAATTCGCCTACATTTTCCTTTTGCTGAATGAGGATTGGAACTGAACATTTACTCCACGAGCCGAAGGCGAAAATTTTGAGAATTTTCAGTAGGCCAAGAAGCCAGATGTGAGGTTGCGGGACGGGATTCTGTAAAATCCTGCGCGGGATCCCTTCCTTATGGACCTCTAAAATGAACAAAAAATTGCTTCTTGAGAAAAGAAGTGGGGGAACGAAATTCAAAATTACCACATTTCTTTAAAATTGTTTAAAAATACTTAAAAATAAATAGGTTTTAACCATTAAATCAAACAAAATTTAAAAAACAAAAATAGATGGTTTAATCAAAAGAGCACATTAACAACACAAATTTTCTAAAATAAATATTTCTCCTATACATTAAAAATTTTATTTTCCTCATCCCAACTTCTACTCTTTAATTTTTCTGATTTGAACATGTGCCGCTCCAACTCTAGTCCCTTCTCTAGTTGAAAATGAGAATCTCAGTTTTGGATAATAAATATTGGCAAGTTGGTAACGGGTATATTCAACTCCTCCATCGAACTGTTTAATTTCAACCTTCTCTGCTCCCTCAATTAATTGAAGACTTGTGGAGCTACGAAAACTCAAGGTAATGACAGACACTAATTTTGAACAGTCCTTTGATGTTGCTATATACTAAAAAATGTTTTAGGATTTATTTTTAACTTTTCTGAATACAACTCACTTCAACAATATGTTCATAAAGCTTTGCTACGTTCATAAAATCCACCACAGTTACGGAAGAATTAACAAAGGCAAACCCAACTTCTTTAAAATTATCTCCTCCCTTTATTAAAATTTCAAATAAAATATCTCGATATTTTTCGATAATGTCCTGATATAGACGAAGAGAAGTATGAAGAGTTCCACTTGACAAATTATTCAAAACAAATTGAAGTGAATTTTCAATATTGTGCTCCATAATATTTACTTGGCATCTTTGAATGTAAATTTGTTTAGGAGTCCTAGCATTTTCAAATAATAATTGAAGCAGTTCTTGATTGAATACAAATTCGTTAATCTCCCCATATTCAAACCGACAATTAAATAATTTATTCAAATAATAGTAAACAATTTTGATATCCTCTTTGCTTTTAATAATGGATGGAAGTTGTACTAGAATATGATGTGCACTTCGGAAAACTAAAAAAAATTTTTTTGATCAAAAACAAGTTAAAAAAGGATGTATTTTTTATTTGGTAAAAAAGCTCGAAAAGTTATCAAATTAAAAGTAGGCTAAAAACAATTCGCTGTTTGAATTACTATTTCATATAACATTTCCCTTTTGTGAGTACATTCCATGGTACCGCAAGCCCAAATGTATCGAGGAGGAACAACTTTGTTCACAATTGTCGAATCCGGGATGCGGTCGATTCAGCTTGACGAGACGCATCAGGCTATCAAGTCGCCCCGAATTTGACAATTCTTAACAAAGTTATATCTTGGCCTACGCTCGTTATTCCCTACTTCGAAGCGAATGCGATGAATTTATTAAGCAAAATCCAACCTTTAGTTACACAAATAACAAGAGTTTTGTTTGAATCTTGTTTAGGTAAATACACAGGAATTGGTTTTTCAAGTCCATTTTTGAACTAAAAATAAAAGAAATTTTGACTTTTAAAAGAGGTATTTTAAATTACCTTCTCTTCAAGTTGCTCATCATTCAAAGAAAAGTCAAGAGGTCCGCCTTCCAATTTAATTAATTTATGAGGATGCTTGTATTGCTCGAGATATTGCTTAAAAATGATTAAAGATTAGATTAATTAGGTAAAGCACACATATTAGTAGAGCGTGTCATATTAGGTTTTTACCTATTTTTTTGCAAGCAGCCCATGATGAGTTAAGTCGAAAAAACTGTTTAGCGAACACTGTTTTAGCGTTTTAACTTTTTTGGACCTAAAATGACACGCTCTACATATTAGCTATTTAATTCCTAAAGCTGTGCAGTAGGCGGCGTGGTGTAATGGATAACACATCAGTCCGGTCTACTGAAGTTGCTGGTTCGCTTCCAGCCGCCTATTAACCTTTTGCATTAGCTAAAGGAGAGAAATAGCCATAGCCCGGCTTCTTTACTATCAAAAAATATTACAATAGAAATTTCATATAATTTCTCCCAAGCAAGTTCTCCTTGAAAATAATTAACGAAATCGTGAAGACAAAAATTCGTTTGTTTGACTGAGCATAATTGTTTATAGTTGAGGAATTTAAAAATATCCAGTTTTGCCTCTGCTGGTAAACAAAGCATTTTTTAGACGATAAAGCACTAAAAAGGAAATTTAAAAATTATTTAAAAATTTGTACAGTTTGTTAGGTACTAAACTCCAAAGTCTTCATAATAACAAAAGAATAAACGAGATAAGGCAGTAACTAACAAACTGTACTTAATTTGATAGAAAAATAAAATGAACAATAAGAATATAGCTAAAACGCACCAAATATGTTGTTTGAAACAAAACGGAATGGCAGAAAAGTTGATAAAATAACACTTAACTAACACAGAATAACATGATAGAATGGCTTTTATACTAAAACTTATACCCAACATAGCTCTTCATTTAAAAATATAGCCATAATATATGTAAAGGGATAGTATATCAAATTTAGAAAAATTTTAAATAAAAATTATTTTAATAATAATAATAAAATGAAAAAATAGATAACATTCAAAAATAAATTTTAATATTTAATTGAGCTTCATCATCCCTTACTAAGTTGTCTACTTGAAAAATATGTTTGAATTGATTTTAATTATTAAATATGTAGATTCCCAAGACTTTTTACTTAACTTTGATTTCTGTAAATATTTTTAAAATTAATTAAAAAATTATATACAGTGTATGAATTTACGCATATTAAATTATTTGTAATACTCAATTGAAACACTGTGTTGTAAAAACGAGAATTAAAAAGGGAAATAAATTCTTAAACGAAAACGAAACAAAAATCATAAAAATCCAAAAAAAACGAAACGAAAAATTACGCCCAGCTCTGATACCGGAACGTTGCTTAATCTAACGATCTACCAGATATAAAGGTTATTAAAATTTTAAATGCAAGCCAGCTGTTCGATGACGACAATAAAATGAATAATCATGTCATTTTTTCTAATTTTTCTTTGTTTTTCCGTTATAAAAAATTAAATTTACTCATACAAATTTTATTACTCATTAAAATTAAATAAAGGATCTAATTATATAATTCCTCCATTTACTTTGTCATTACATATTATTTTTGAAAGAAAATTAAAAATAAAATATAAAATTTCAAAATTCTATTTGTATCCTTGTGGTTGAGTGGTCATGGTTATATTTTTTATATTTTCCTTTCAAAAATAAATAATTTCAAGCTTTAAATTCTAATTTTGAAATTGTATCTTTATTTTTAAATATCATTAAAATTCATGAAATTAATCAATTCTGGCTCCTTAGCCGTCCAAAATTTTAAAAATTATGGTCTCAGGTGAAAGCAAATGCAAAAAGTTTACATTTCAGAATTTTCACCAAAAACCGGTCATTAGCTTCAAAATACCAGATCAATCCTAATTTTTCCGGGTTCTTCTGAGTCAGCGTGATTGATCTGAGTTCGCCTACTAGTCTCAATTGGAAGAGATCGCTTTGTTCTTTTTTAACACATCAAGGGAAAATTTCGGAAAATTTATAAGCCAAAAAGCACGATTTTTTCATTTTAGAGGGCAAAAAAATCTGAGAATTTTGGAGGAAAATCAAAATTCAATCAAATCTATTTCTTGTATCACATGTAAGTTCTCGTAATCAATTTAAATCCTTAATCATTCAACTTCCTCAATATTCCTCCGTATCTCTGAATACCCATCCTAATCCTACACCATCTACCTTGATCCTTTAAATCGCTATAAATGTTAAATAGATATTTGACATTTTATTGTGAGACAGTATTAAAGTTAATTAAAATTTTAGAGCAATTTATTTTTAATTCTTGATTTATATAATATTCTAATATGAAAAAAATTATTTTTTTAATTTTACTTATTATTTTGATTGTGAATATTGAAAGTGAAATAATTGGAGGTAATAAATTATATTTAAAGATTTAAATGTATTTTCAAACCGGGGGAAGTATTTTAAGAGTAGAGTTAATCAAAAAATTTCCATCTAAAACAAAACATAGAGCAAATGATTGCTGCGCATTTTTTCATTAAAATTTTTCATTATGCGCCAGCATTGAAATAAAAAGTAGTGATTAAGCTTTTAACCACTAAAAGTCTTCAATTTTGAGATCTGGACACGTTATGGCCTCTTATACAAAAAGATAATGCCCCGGAAGAACCTTAGGCACTTCTATTCAGTTTTCGGAAAGCGGAGGATTTCAGATTCCTAATTTACCAAAAATTGGAAAAAATATCCTCGGCACTAAAAAATTTTTTTGTTAGAATTTTTTAATTCCAAAATTTTACCTAAATACATATGTACATTATATAATTTTTCTTTTATATATGTATCAGGGAACGCCCCGACAGAAAATCAAATTCACGATTTTCGGGAATCGTGAAACGGGTCGGCGCGATCCCTGATATGTATATTTAATAAAATATCTAAAAATATCAGATGTTGATAAATTAGTCGTGCGAATAAAAAGATTGGCCTTCGAATCAAAATGCAAAAATGGAAGATTCTCAAGTAAAATTTTAATTATAGGAGATAGGACTTTTATGTATGAAATTTTTTCCTCAAACATTTATGTTGAGAGCTCATTTGTCAGCCTAAAATTTTTTATTGCCCCATTCCTTTTTCTTTCCTTCTTAAAGCTTCATTTTTAACAATAAGTTCTCTTTTGGTAATAAGTTCTCTAACTTATTTTCCAAAACTTAACTTCATTTTAAAACATTTGCATCAAGTTTTTTTTGTTGGTAGAGTGTTTTTCCTATAAAAATTGAATTGCAGCTTCTTCACTCTGTGGAAAATTTTTCGCTTTTTTATAAATGATTTTAATCCTTGCCCATTAATTTCCTTTGACCATTTTGTAATCCAAAAGAGAAATTAAAAAGGAGGGCATGAGAAGGAAAAGGGGGCTGTAAAAGATGTAGGTGTATAATACAAGAGTACCTTATTAATTTGTAAATATAAATTCCTTTTTAGAGAATTGTACTAAATACAAATCAACCAAACGGAGAAAACTTTGGAATATTGAAAATAAAAATATTTAATGTAATAATGTAAATAATATTTAATTTTGTATAATAATTAGAATGATCATAATAAATATTTAAAAACTTATTTTTTAAATTTTTTGAAAAATTTTTTGAAAAAAAAAATTACTAATTCTCTTTAAATTAATAGAATTTTTGGCCGTATCTGAAAATAATGCTGCAATCATATTTTTTCCTTCATTTTTTCCTTTCCATATTTTTCCTTATTTTGTACAGAAAGGTCAGACTTTTTCACTCGTTCACTTCCCATGAATTTCCCTGTAGCATGTTCAAATGTAATTATAGTGAAAAGATTAAAAGCAAAAAATAAAAAAATATACTTTTTGTGTTGTAAAACATGGACAGACAAAACACGGACGGACAAGGACAGAGACAAAACACGGACGGACAAGGACAGAGACAAAACACGGACGAACTCTGACAGACAGCAAAACACGGACGGACACAGACAAACGGACGAACTCGGACAGACAAAGCACACACACATCGGACAGAAAAAAAAGTAAATGCTCACAAAATTGAAGAAAAATAATCTATTGCGCTTATAGTCTTAAGGCACAAATCAGAAATAGAGAGAAAAATATACCATTTTTAAGAATAAGGAAAAAATATGATTGCAGCATTATTTTCAGATACGGCCGAATTTTTTATATTCTTTTATCAAAAACTTTAAAGAAAAATGATATTTTTTCATTTTACTTCATTCTTTTTCTTAAATTAGGCAATGGGAATGAAAAAAACTAATTGGCTTTAATTTTGTTTATATTTTCAAATCTTAAATATAAGGTCCTTTTTATCTAATACTTTTCGGATTTTTCAGTTTATTTTTTATCTATTCAATGAAATTTCATAAGAGGGTGGCATTAATTTGCGTTATTTTCGTATCTCCATTCAATCACAAATTCCAATTTATACTCCATTTCTTTTAATTTATAAAAATAATTTTGATTATTTTATCAATGCCTATTTATTACTGTTGTATACTAGGGATCTGCCTGTGAGTGTCTTATGAGATCGAAAATAATATCTCGATAACCGAAATTTTTGAACGAGATCTCTTCTCGGATCAGGCTCTACAAACATTAGAATGCAATACATTTTGTAGGTCAAGTATATATTGGCTTGGCTTGGTTTGGAGGAAAAAAGACACTTTGTGTCCTTGAAAAAAAAGAAGAATGACCGCCGCTATCTAGGCTCCCCTACAAAGGATAGATGAATTAAAGGATAGATGCGCTAAAGGATAGATACGGCCAAAAACTATCAAAGGATAGATGCATCAAAGGATAGATGCACTAAAGGATAGATACGGCCAAAAGCGATCAAAGGATAGACAGCTGAATAGGTCGTTTGAGTCTGGACAAAAATGTTTAATAATCTGAATCTTCGCTGGAAAAACTTTTTGTGCTGCTACGGAGGGTAGGCCGGGCATGGTTTTCGCTTCACTATGGCCGTGCTTCGCTGCGGTCGTGCTCGCTTCGCTCGCGGCGACCGTAGCGAAGCGGCGGCCGTCGTTCCGCTCGACATGCCCGGCTTCATCCGCAGCGGCAAAAACTTTTTTCCGCGAATATACTAAAGTACAAATAAAATAAAAATCAGAACAGAAACATGAAATCAAAACAAAGATCTGAAAAAAAACAAACAAAGATCAGGCACTCAACAGTTGGTACTCAACTGGACTCCAAACTTTATCTATGTTTTACCCAATTTTAGACGTGTCTATACTTTAATGGATTCTACCCCTATCTATCCTTTGGCGCATCTATCCTTTGATGCATCTATCCTTTAATCGTTTTTTGCCTTATCTATCCTTTAGCAGCTTTTGGCCGCGTCTATCCTTTGATCGATTTTAGCCGTATCTATCCTTTGATTCATCTATCCTTTGAGCGGGCACGGCTATCTACATCTCTCTCATAATATGTATAAAAATGATGAGAGAGAAAATACATTAAAAGTGCCACACACCCATATATCCCCATTTATTGGGCAAATTTTTGTAAAGTATCTCAGCATTGTAAAATATTGCAGCATGAGCAAATATGTTAGTCGAGAAGGAAATGCTCAAAATTTTCCAATTTTCTCTATATAGGCAATTCTTTTTTTTGCTCCTTAGAAGGAAAAAAATTAACGATCCATTTGCAAAATTTGCATTTAAAATTAAAAATATTTACTAGTTTAAAAGTGAATAATTTATCTCAATTTATGGGGCAAATATTCTCTTACCCAACAACTCCAATAAATCCAAATCTACAAATATCTTTTCCAACTGACCAAAATAAAAATACAAGTCCATCAAATAGTGATTCTGAAAGAAATAAAGCAAATAATAATTTAAATAAGTAATTTTTAATTAAAAATTATTTTTTTAATTTTTACAAAAAGGCGTGTCCAACTAACACATGTCCATCTACGTAAAGCTAAATTAATCTTCTTTTATCAACGCTATCCAAATATTTCTGTTCTTGAAGGTTATTTTCCAGATGTTCAATTTAATGAACACAATACTGCACAAGTAAAATTTTAGAAAAAATTATTTAAATTTATTTTTTTTAAAGCTTCTTAGTTGGTTCTCTAATTTTAGGTAATTTAAATTTATTAATAAAAATGTATTTTTAAATCAAAATTTTAAAATTTCAAAGAGAATTTTATTATATGAAAATGGAAAAGTTTGCCAAGCAGGCAATATATGAAGGGATTAATGATCAAGAAGAGGCTTATTATTAACTACCTAATTTATTTTTAAAATATTTAATTATTTAGATAGTTGTAACATCTGATTCAAAAATATTTAAACAAATTAATCAACACTTTAATAAAAATAATGCTTTTGAGGTAATACTAAAAAATGATAATAAACAAATAAATTACGAAAATATTTTTTATTTGATAAAAAACTAATTTTTTTAATAAAGAACAATTCTTTTTTTTAACATAACAATAGGAAATCGAGGGTCCTCTATCTAATGGTACCAAAAAATAGACCCAATCCGCAGTCACAGTAAACGATGGTTCCTTGTAAGAGTAACTCCAATATGTAAGGAGATGTTATAATTTCCAAACGGACTTTATGCCAAGATGACTTATTTTGGGAGAATCACTATACATAGTTCTTGTTCTCATTTAATTCCAAAATTAAAGATATACATACTACCGTATTTTTTCTAATAGTGTGACTGTCCTTATTAGACCGACCCCTTCTAATAAACCGACCGGTCGCACTATTAGAAGAAATACAGTATTTATTTATTAAATTTAAATAATTTTAAGGTCCCAGAGAGTTTCCAATTTGTTGTTCAAAAAACTTTAAGAGAATTTTTCACAGCTTTACAACAACAGAAAAGTTTAGAAGAACCTTTTTGGAAAGAATTAATAAAGGAAGTAATTAAACAATTAGATGAACCAATTCCTAATTATTTCTGTGAATCTAAATTTGATGAAATGCTAGAAAATATATAAGGAGATTAGAAAGAAGATGAAAAAATGAGGAAGGAGAAATTAAAAGTTAAGAACAAAAATTTTTAAAAAAAAATCCGTAAATGTTTAAAAATAAATTGAAATTAACCCACAAAAAATTATTAACAAACCAAAAATAATTCAATCGAAAAAGTAAAAAACCAATATTTTTTAAAAATAAAAATACATTTATTTTATTAAAAAGTCAAATTAAACGAGATTAATATTAAAGGTAAAATATGAGATAAATAGAGAAAAAATATCGCTAAATTTGTTTAATTTCTATATCGATAATTTTGTCGCGAGTTTGCCAATATAAAATAGAGAATTTAATTTTTGGATTATATTTGTTGGAAATTTGGTATTTTGTTATAGAAAGATCATCATCCCCTCGTTCATCAATATTTTCAGCTCTTTCATGCAAAGTAATTTTAATATAAAGACCTTTTTGGCTCTATCGCAAATGAGGTGCGTAATCATATTTTTCTCCTTCCTTCCTCAAATTAAAAATGGGGAACTTTTTCCTTAGTTTTTAATGTATGCTGATTTCGCCGTAAGGAAAAATGATGCAAGAGGATTAATTTTTTACATTTTGTTTTTTGTTCATGTTTTGACTGACCGTGTTTTCACAGTCAAAACATGGGCAATTTTGACTGAAAAACAGTCAAAACACGACTGAAACTGACTGAAAAACCGTTTAGTCTGAAAAACAGTCAAAACACGGACAGTTTTGAGACACGGTCAGTCAAAACAGGGTAGAAAAGAATATGAAAAAAATTACTCCTCTTACATTATTTCTCCTTACTAAGGAAAAATACTAAGGAAAAAGTTCCCCATTTTTAACTTGAGGAAGGAAGGAGAAAAAATATGATTACGCACCTCATTTGCGATAGGGCCACATTTTTTATAGCAGGAGAGAATGATTTCCCTCTCAACAGTGTCTCTTGTCATGAATCGCCAGTTTCAACAATTAGAACCCTGACCATCGGCTAGATCCATAGAGTATGTTAAATTAAGGAATCCCTTTTCGTCTCTGAGTGCCCTCTTCATAAAAATCAGAAAGGCAAATTGAGATAATTGTGGTGGAAATCAAAAAGGTGTAACATAAATCAAATTTTGGTTGAGTCAGGTGTGAACCATCATTCGCATATTTCAAATTTTTCAGCGCGAAAAGTTTCGCATTCCGCTTTTTATTTTTAGATTTCGCCTAGCCCTGGTGTGGACCCTTGGACTTTTAACCAAAAACTTACATTCATAGCAAAATCAGAAATATTAAAGTATTTATTGGAGGTTAAGTTTGTTGAGATTTCATCAAATCAAAATATTCTTGTTTCCTTTGGCATTCAACAAAGGATTAAAAATACATTTTTCCCAATTTCTCTTTTTTAATTCAAAAATTAACATTTACTTTATAAAATTCTCTCAGTACGGCAATAATCACACTCGTCGATTTTTAACAACGACGACAATTTTTGTAAGTAGGCAATGGGAATGAAAAAAAACAATTTGCCCTTATAAAGAAGAGATTTTCTTCATACATAATCATTTGCCATTCATTTTTGTTTATAATTATTACTTGCTGCCGTTTTTTTGTTAGATCACTTTTATCTCAATCAAAAGTGGAGCTACCCTAGTCTTGATCTTTTATGTACTATCTTTTCAATATTTTAAGAAATTGTTCCCTATTTACTTATGTTTTGGAAATGGACCCCTACTTTTAGCTATCAGGGCAGATTTTTATTGAAATAAGTCTGCCCATATTAGTTTAGTTCTAGAATTAATTATTTTTTAACTGATATTTTTAAATGCGTTCAAAATTTAATTACGGTTCTGGGCAGATCAGAAAATTTATTTTGAACAAACACTTTTACTTTTTAAAAATTGCTTTTCAAATTTTTGTATTTTGATCAACACATTTTTTAAAATTCTTTAAATTTTTCAATTTACTTTGTTGATTTATTTTTGTTTTTTTTTATTTTTCAATTTAAATTTACTTTTTTTTTCTTTTGGCATTCAACTAGAGGATTACATTTTTACCAATTTTTTTTCATTCAAAAATTAACATTTATTGTAAAAATTCTCTCTGTACGGCAACAATTTTACTCGTCGATTCAAATATAATCCAAAAATTAAATTCTCAATCTAGGTATATTTAGAGAAAAGTTTCTATTTTTTATTTTCCATTTTATGAAAATATTGTAGTAATTAAACTAATTTGTGGATAAATCTTTTAATAATTTAACTATTACCTTTCGGTACAAGACTGGACCCACTCTGATCTTTTATATTTTTTTGAATCATTTATTTATTTTAAAAAACCCGAACAAGCCACTTATTGATATTATACTTAATAATCGGGTACACCCCAAGGTACCGCAAGGCCAAGGTACCGCCGAGCTATAATTTCGTTCAAAATTTTCGAGTTCGGAACGACTTGGCATGGTTCGATGCGCCTCGAGGAGCTGAATCGAACCATACCAGGGCGTCCCGGATTCAACAATTTTGAAGAAAGTTATAGCTCGGCGGTACCTTGGCCTGCTCCCTTAATAATCTTACTTTATTAAATTTCTTGAAGACTTCAAGTCAAGTGAACGCGGCTTGGTTGCCGGCCTCACTTGTATTCCTATTTTAGCTTACTTTCATTTTCAATAACAAAACTGCTATCTTTCTAATTTTAAATAAAAAATTTCGGTATTTGTAGGTTGTCAATAATTTTCTGTCAGCCTTTCCAAACTTCTCTTTGTTTTTTAAATTTAAGAATTAAATACATATGTACAATTTTCCCAATTTTTTCAATCATTTAATTAAAATTTAAAGGCAACTTTTTAGGCTGATCCAGAAAATCAATTTTAATGTTTATCTCGCTTGATTTCACCTTTCGATAAAAATATTTTTTCCTTCTTCCAAAGTGTTTGAATAAATTTCCCTTTGGCCAACAAATTTTGTCTCCCGTTTGTCCGTGTTTTGTCATTTCCGCGTTTTAGCCCACAGAAAATAAAAGCAATCTGGGAAAAAATCAAAAAAAATTTGAAAAATTTACTGAGGGAACTATTTAAATTTTTTGAAAAATAGGCAAAATAAATACATAAGGGATGAAAAAACTTAAATTCAGGCATAACATAAATATGCAAAACTAACTAACATTTTCCTATATTTATTAGGTGCGGACATAATTAGTGGACGTTTTTTAATTTGGTTTTTTAGCATTAATTTCCTTAAAAATATTTTTTATTTTTATACCGAATAATTTGTCAGTGTATTTTCTAAAGGATCCCAGAATTTGGAAATTTTTGGTTAGGTATTCAGGGAGTTCTGATCGAAAATGTCAAAATTTTCGAAATCATCGAAAATCAAATTTTTTCGAGTATATTTAATGCTAATATTTAGTGTAATATATCATTCGAAAGCTCTTCAAAATCTCTATCAGGAGGGCACTAAGTCGAATTTTTAATCCGAAAGGTCTAAATTTTTCGAAAAAGTCGAAATTCGAATTCCGGGTTTGACACGATTTACAGACTTTATATTTCGGATTTAGTATAAGCCCTCTATGAGATTTAAAAAACCGTTTAGATCATCCTGATCGGATGATTTTACGCTGAGTTATAAGGAACAACTTCTTGGGGGAGTGTCGTGTCGTTTTCCCATCTGTGCAAAAGAGAGTACACGCGGCATCTGATTTGCCTTCCTTAAGCGCAGCCCGCGTTTTTTGAGTCACTCGTGGACATACATATAGAGCAGATATCCCTCTATAATTCAGCAGTAGAAATGAGCGGATTCCATCTAAGCCGGCCGAGCAGGACCGTTATTCTTAAAACAGCCGTCTCCCTCGACCATGTTTGCTTCTGAGAGTGATACGGCTTTAAAGATAAAGCCTGAACCCTATTTTTTGCTGTTTAGCATAGACAACGATCCCAATGACTATCTCATTAAGTTTATTTGATTCTTTTATTGCATTTTTGGTAATTTAAAATTTTTGGTGTAAATGCTTGTGAATTTCACTACGAGGTAGTGAAGTTCAAAAAATCATAACTCTAAGAATTTAATCCGTGTATGGCTAAACCTGGTATTAAAATGAAGAGCAGATCCGGATCTTTATGTTGATTAATAAGTAGAAAGAATATATGTAATATAACACCCCTAAAAATTTAATCTAAAAAACGGCCACTAATTATGTCCGCACCTAATACAATGCTTACTTAAAAAAATATTTAAATTAGATTTAATTATCAATTAAATTTAATAAAATATAAGTATTTTCTACTAATTTTAAAATTTGATTGTTTTTTACTAGGACACAATTTTTAAGGAGTTTCCTATCTTTTAAAGTATAGATCCATTGTCTTATGTATATCGCTATTTTTCCATTATTACAATCTTTTCATAAAATTCCTATATTATTTTAATTTTTAAGTTTTGAAAATTTTTTCGATTTTCTTATTTGAGGCCGAAAATCTTATTTTTATTTACTCTTAATTCACGCTGATTTTTTGATATATTCCCCAAATCCTTCTAATCACTTTATTTATTTTTTATATTGATAATTAAAATTATTAAAATTTATAACGATTTTCCAACAAATATTTTTAAAATTATTGTAGGACAAATAGGGGTATTATTTGAAGTGGGGTGTAATTATTGTTTTAATCTCTCCCTGTATGGTGAATTAATAGAGGCCGAGTGATATTTGAGTGAGGGACATTAATACAGTTTTTTCGGTATTTTTAATTCTGAAATTAAATTCTGAATAAAGTTGAATTATAAATTTACTGATTCTGATAAATTTAATAAGAAAAATTATTGACAAAATTTTTAATGTAGTCCCTTCAATATTAATTAATTAACACCTTTCACTCAAAATTTTTATGTAAAGAAATTTTTTTTTTAAAATTAAAAAGGCAATAGTGATTAATTTTTTAATTTAGTAAACAATAAATTAGGGCTGGATTTTCTAATTAAAATTTTTTCTCATAAATCAAAGCTAATTAAATAATTAAAATAAATAAATATGTACATAAAGGAATTATTACTTCTTTAATTAATTCTGATTCAAAATTTAATTTTCTGAATTTAATTAAATAAACTTAATTTAAAAAATCAGAATTTAAAACATTAAAACCTAATTTAGAATTTAAGACTTGTAAACCTGAAATAAAATAAACTTGAATCAGAATTTTAAATAAACTTGAATTTATAAAATCAGAATAATAAACTTTTTTTAAAAGATAAAATGTAATTTTCAGAATTTAATTAAATAAAGTTTATTTAATAAAGTTTATTTATTCTAGAAATATTAATTCAAGTTTATTTAAAATTCTGATTCAAGTTTATTTTATAAATTCTGAATTAAAGTTTAATATTTAAAATTCTGTGTTTTTATTCAAGTTTTATAAAATAAGTTCAAGTTTATTTTGTATTTATTCAGTCAAGTTTATTTATTTTATTCTGATTCAAGTTGATTTTAATATTCTGATTTTATTTAATAAATAAACTTTTTTGAAGAGTATACTGTAATTATTTTAGTTGTGGCGAAATGTCTTTTTTATTATTTAGTGGAGAAAATTAGAGATCGGAATTTTGAAAAAACCGGGACCGGGAAACGGGAAACGGTTTCTGAAGGTCGACCGGGAGGGACCCGGACCGGGAAAACCGGGAATTCCCGTTCCCGGTTTCATCCCGGTCAAAAATGACCGGGACCCGGACCGGGAAACCGGGAAATTTTAAAAAATTTTTAAATTCATTTAAAAATTTTAAAAAGTTATGGGAGTAGTTATTTATTGAAAAATCTGATTTATAAATAGAAGAATTTAATAAATCAGTAAAATACATCAATAAAACAAATGTAAATTACAAAAAATTAAAACATAAAGCGGATTATTTAGGGCTAAAGGGATTTGAGAGGCTAGAGAAGGATTGTGGGATATTGGGAGATTTTGGAATTTAAGATCTCCCGATAGGCTCCTCAAATTTTTTTTATATCGCCTATATGTATTCCTCATCTAATTCCCTTTAATCTCTCCTAATCCACCTCGATGCAGATTTAATTTTTATTTAATTTAATTTTTATTTAATCCCTCTAAATCCACTTTGATCTTCTCTGTGCAATAGTGATATCAGGGATTAAAAGAGATATCGAGAGATTCAAGTATTTGTTGGGTAGCATTAAGAGAGATTGTGGAGAAAGACCTCCAACCACCTATATCACCTGATATCTACCTATTCAAATCCCTTCAATTGGAAGGCAATGATATCAGATGATTAAGGCGATCTAATAGATTTAGAGGGATAAAGATGGCTTAATCACCAGGTCCCTTGATAAAATCGCACTATGCACTAATTTCCCTCAACTTTTCCTCCAATAATACCTCCAAATTTCTCCGTTCCAAATTCTTCCGCGAAAATTTTGAGAATTTTGGAAGGCCAAACAGCCAAATTTTTTCCGTTTTCAGCGCCGCAGGCGAAAATTTTGAGAATTTTTGTAAAATCTCCAATATTTTTAAGTCAAAAATCAAAACGTCAAGCAAAAATATTTAAAATTAGCTGCTAGAATTTTTCCCGGTTTCCCGGTCCAAAAAAAGCCGGGATCGGGAACGGGAAACGGGAAATGAAAATTAACCGGCCGGGACCCGGACCGGGAAAACCGGGAATTCCCGATCCCGGTTTCATCCCGGTCTCCTCAAAAAAGCCGGGAAAAAGGACCGGGAAACCGGGAAACGGGACCGGGTCCCGATCCCGTTCCGATCTCTAGAGAAAATTGAAATATTGAGTCTCGTCGTTAGTGTTTTCGGGTCATATTTTGGGTCATAACTTTTTTTATTTTCAACCAATTCGAATAAATTTGGGCTCATTCGATAGCCCTGGATATAAGGAAAAATTAGATAACAGAATTGATTTGATCAGATCAACTTAAAAAATTATACAGCTAGATAAGTGCGCGGAATCGTGTTTTTTTGGTTTTATACGACTCTAAATTTTTGTTGAGGATCTTATCATATCAATTCTGATAGTAAAATAATCTCCAGATTTAGAGCTTTTGATTGATATATTACTTATTTAAATCCATTAAAAATCAAAAAAGTTATAGCTGAAATATTGATCAAGGGTCTCAACCTATGAGACTCAATTGTCCTTTCCTAATAAGGAATAAATTTTCGAAATAAAGGGAATATTGAGAGAAAAAATTTTAATTCAAAAGACAATTTTAAAATTTTTTTTTTAATTTTCAGGTGTTGAAGTTTAAGTTGAATTAATTTTAAACAAAGTTGGTATTGTCTAAAATGGTAAAAAAACATAAATCAGCAACAAATTTAACTATAAATTTTCTTTCTGGCGAAAAAATTTTAATTCAATTAGCAAAAGAGTCGACTATGTTTGTAAAGGTTATTTTAACTGGATTGTTTCCTTTTATTTAAAATTTTTTTTAGAAATTTTTAATTTACTTGAAACGAAATGGAGGGAAGCTGTTAATTGCACAAATGATTTTTGCTGACGATGGAATTAAACTTAATAGTATAATTTTATAAATTAGGGTTCCTCGATCCCCGGCAAACCTCAATCCCCGGCACTACCCCTCGAAGCGTCGGAGTGCTTCTCCAATGGATATTTATGTATCACAAAAATAACCTCCTAAGCTTAACATGGTTACCCTCTTTTCTGTCAATCTCCATAAAAATATTCACTCCAATTTCGGGTAATATTGAAGCGTACAGACCCCTTTTTCCTCAATAATTTTCCCCACATATTCTTACAAATGGTCAAACTTTTTCCTTTCTTCTCCATTTTACTTGTTTTTTGCATGTACTTGCACTTGTATAAAATTAAATAATCCTTTTTGATTGGTTGTAGGCAAAAATTAGAAAGGCAAATTGGATGGAAGAAAGGAAAAATTCTAGCCATTTTGTAAAAATATGGGAGGAAACTTATTGAGGAAAAAAGGGGTCTGTACGCTTCAATATTACCCGAAATTGGAGTGAGAATTTTTATGGAGATTGACAGAAAAGAGGGTAACCATGTTAAGCTTAGGAGGTTATTTTTGTGATAAATTATCGCAATTTTATTAGGGATGGGCCTTTTCCTTATCGCCCTACTGCGAAACCCGTAATTGTTTTACCCATCATATTCCCTACATCTACATTCCCCGTGGATACCTTCATGTTTCCTTTTGAATTCCCCCCCCCCTGGAAATATAGTGAAATTAGGAAGGAAGAAAAATTTGACCAGTTCTAACCCTTCAAGATAAGCAAAGAGTGAAAAGAGGTGTCAAGGGGAGACTAATACCTGTCTATCAGGGATCTACCCCGTCCCCAAAAATTTTGGTGCTTATTCACTCCCTCCCCCTCAGTCTTTTTTTGTTAAATATGTACAAAATGCTGTCTAATTAGTGAAAAAATGGGACGGTCAGATTATTGTTATCAATTTTCAGGGGTCGGTACATAGTTTTTCCCCATGGCAAATATTTCCCCATTCTCCCGTGGCACAGATTTCTTCCAAAACTTGCCTCATATTCTGCTTAATATAAACTTTAAACAATTTAGATATTGTTCGCCGTGGATTTTGTTCAAAATTGAGTGTCAAGATTTTTTGTACAACAATTTTACATGACAATTTGATGAATCTTTGTGGAAAAATTTCGAAGAATTTTCGTGGAAATTATTTTTCTAAGTTTGTAATTTTTTTATATTTATATATATGAGGGTTTGATACTTTCCTGTTATTATTAGGTAATTGAGGGTTTATTTAATCGTTTAAATTATTTCTGTCCGGGCATATCTGTTCCGTTTTTTAGCCTGACATTTTTTTGTGTTAGATGAACTCCCCCCCCATAGATGAACTCCCCTTTCTCTCCCTCTTTTTTTGCTTAATATTTACTTGATAATTAAACTTCCTCGATTCCACTCGATTTTCTTTTGAAATATTCATATTTATAGAATATTAAGTACAAAAAACCTCGTTCTTCCCAATATATTTTCTTTTGGAAACTCAATAAAAAATTATTAACATTTTAAGAAAAAAGGGAAGGGACAAAAATCTTGTCACTAAAACATTTTTTATTATTATTAAGGACCAAACGACGAAACAACGAAGTAAACTTCAAAAAAAATAAAATTAATTGTTCTGTTGGAAGTAAAATGGTTACAAATTTTTTGAAGAAACAAGAAAATTTCAAAATTAAAGTAATTGTTTTATTATTTTAAATAAGGAAATTAGAATTTATTTCTTTTTTGCTTATGTATGTGGCGGAGAGTCCGCAAGTTTTGTCCGCAAAACTTGTCTTCTCTTTATATAAAAAATTAACGTTTTTGAGAAATAACGTTTATAACTTGCGGACAAAACTTGCGGATTTTATGACAAATACTTGAGTAAAAAAGTTTTGAATTTTTCAAAATGGGGAAATCCTCGTTTTACTTAAAATCAATTTTTATTTAAAAATTTTTTTTCGTATTTTTGCCTTCAAAATCCTTAAATTTCTGTCTATAAGATCCTTTCTGTTCCACCTATTATTATTAACAAATGAATTGATTTATAAAATCAGAATATTTTTAAACAAATAGAAAATTTTATTTTTTGATGGAAAATTTAAATACAAATTTATTAAATTTTTAGACTTTCACTTCGTCAACAAAAGGGGCCCCTCCGGTCCCATTAGGTTGGCGTACTGGAGGGTGCCAACCTTGGCTGTTCTTTTTTGTTTTTTCTTCCTTAATTAATGGAGTATTGGCGATCGAAAACATCCAAATATTTGGAGGTGCAATTGGTGGCGCAATTTTTTCTTGTGTTGTCTTCTACATTTCTCTTTGCCTTTACAACAAATATTATGACAAATTATTTACAAATGATAATGACAACAAGAAAGAAGCCAAAATGGAAGAAGGAAAACAAGTACAAGTAAATTATAATAATTTTTTAGACTTCTAATTTTATTTTTAATTTACTTCCTGGGATTCTAATAGGCTTAAAAATTTTTTGTGATTTTTTCTGTGGGTTTTTTCCGAGATTTTTATTATTAGTGAGTGAATTTTGTGAAGATTGCTTTTTTGTGTGATTGTATGTATTTGAGTTGAAATTCTGGTGTTGATAAATTTTATGAATGATTACAGCAAAAATAATTTTGGCAAATTTTGTCAGTAATTATTTTTGCGGACAAAACTTGCGGACTTTTTTTACTCATTTTTTATGCAAATGTGATGTCTTTAGTTTGATTTTTTTGTCTTTGATGTTTTCATCTGTATCATAAGATTATTAAAAAAATTTTTTGATGTAAAAATTAAATAAAAAAAGTGAATAAAAAGAATTTTTCATTTTTTAGAAGATATTAACAAAACAAGATGAGACAACAGAGGAAGAAGAACCCTCGTCTATTGAAATTGATTTTACTCAAGCATCGGAGATTGATAACGGAGGTAATTACATAAAAATATTAATTTTGAATTTAATTCAAAAAAATTTTTTTTTGAATTCCTCGAAACTTTTTAATTTTTCTAAATTTTTGAAAATTATTTTTCAAATTTTTTTGATTATTTAAAAATTTTTTTGAATTTTTTTAAACAATTTTATAAAGTTGACAAAAAATAATATTTTAAAATAAAATAAAGATAATATGTCAACCTTTAAAAATTCAATTGTAAATTGGGAATTTATTTTTTGGATTTTATTCAGATTTCGATTTTATTTTTTGAAAATAGAAACATTTTTTTCCCATTTCTGGAGAACTTTTATAATTATTTGACGAAAAAAATTTTAATGTTTTTAAATTTTTATTAAAAATTGCTATAATATTTTTATCAACCTTTTAAAAATTATTTTTTTTCGGAAATAAAATTCAAAATAAATTTTGGAATTAAATAAAAATTAAAAAAAAAACATAAAAATTTTTTTAAGTTGACAAGCAAGAAATTATTGAAAAGAAGGATGTTTTGGTTAAAAATTTTGAGAAAAATGTTATTTTAAAACGCTCCAAATCTTTTACAAATTTATCAATTGCTGGTGGTTCTTTAAAGCGTTGTTGTTCATGTCGGGAAATTAATATTGAAATGGTATAATTTAAATTACAATTAAATATTTTTGGAAATTTGTTTTTAATGCTTTTTTTGGAAGCAATAATTTTATTTCAAAAAATATTTTTTAATTTTTTTTTCGTACAAAAATTTGTGGGCAAATAATATTTTGGAATTATATTAATACAGGATTCGTATCCGAAAAATGCTAAGTACAAAAAGTTTAATTTGGAAATATATACGGAGAATATTTTCAAATTATAATTTTACACTACAAAAAATTATTCTAAATTTTTTCTGGCCCAAAGGCCCAGATAATTCATTCTTTTGCGCCCAGGCAAAAATTTGTGAATTTTTGTTGAAATTTATTAACTAAAAGTCCATTTTAAGTATGTACTTACAAATAAGTAGATTTTTAATTTTGAAATTGCGGGTGTCGATTTGTATGTACTTCCAAAATAATTACGAATACGAACCCTGTATTAATATTTAAAAATTAAAAGAATATTTAATTAAGTTTTTCTTAAACGATTTCTGCCCAAAATTTTAAATTTAATCTTTAAGAATCTAAATTTTATTAACGACTTAAATTTTTTATGTAAATTGAAATTACTTAATTTCTAAATAGTAAAGCATTAAATTTTAAGGATAATAAGTCAGTTTGTTCTTCAATTGACTGGGAGGCAGATTTTGATGACTGTGTTGGTGGCATTTATCAAATTGGTGGAGAAACATGTATTGAATGCCATATTCAACCTAATGGAAAAACAGGACTCACTCCGGACGAAAAGATGGACTTGGCCAGCCATGAGGCTGGCCATGCCTTTGTTGCATTTCTCCTCGGAGTTCCTGTTACAAAAGTTAATAAAATACTATTAATTTTTTAATTAAATAAATTTAGATAACACTCTTACCACAAGGCCAATTATTAGGACACACGCTAGTTAAGTTTGGAGACAAACAAGTGATATCAAAGGAGGAGAAGGAAAAGCAAATTACATGTTTGTGGGGAGGTCGAGAATCAGAGAAGAAATTACGTGGTAAAATAACCACGATGTTTAAGTCAGATCAAAGGGCAATTAAAGAAATTCTTGAACCTATGGTAATAGCCCAAATTTATCACGATTTTTAAAAATCATATTTTAGGGTCCTGAGTTTGGCTTGAGTGACAACGATGCCCTTTATGTTTTCAAAGCTGAGTCTGAGAAATTCAAAGGGATGAAAGACGACGACAAATACTTGATTGGAAATAATTGTAAATTAAAAGCAAGACAATTAATAGAACAAAATGCTGCTGCTGTGGAGGCGGTATATTTCAAAAAATGTTTTTTAAATTAGCAATAAAAATTTTTAGTTGGCCTCAACCCTTTTTGGTTGTGAGGAAATGGTTGGGGAACAGCAAATTAAAGAGTATTTTTAAAATTTTATTAAAATTCTAAAATTATTTCTAACTTCAGAACATTGATTAAACTTCAACAGCAGTACACCGGAAACAAATAAAGGATTTTTTATGTAAAGTGGGTATTGTCAAAGAGGAAAAATTCACGGATTCTAAATATACTATTATAAAAATGTCATTCTGTTTTTTTCGATTATAATATACCTATTTGTTTTGTTATTAATGTTGTTTAATTTAAAAAATTATGTAAAGTTTAGTTTTTGGGTTGAGGTCGTTTTGGCGCGAGAACAGAAAAGTGGCACTTAGGCGGGATTTAAATTCTTTAAAATTTCATCAAATTTCTTTAACACCCTTGACTACCTACTCCAGAAATTTCAGAATTTTTCATCCAATATTTCTGAGGTTATAGTCGATAGACCTCGAAAAATTAGGCATTTTTCAGAAAACCAACATTTTTGGCCATAATTTCTAAAATTCTCGCTCAAAAATTCTGAAATTTTTGGAGAACTTAGATAAAGGTACGAGAGTTGTTATTACAAAATTTTATCAGTTTAGAAAAAAATCGCTATCTTATAAGCGATTAAAAAATCGCTATCTTATATCCTTTGGATCTCGAGGTTGGAATCTATTTTTTCTTATAAGCTCGCCCAGTCCCTAGATTTTTGGAGATCGAGAATAAAAAAATTTTAAATTGATTTCGGAAATTTATATATTTTTTGAGGTTGGTTGGACCTTTGGATCTCGATGTTGGACCTATTATCTTTTCCCTTTTTCTGCTAATTTTGTTCGACTTTTTTATTTTTAGATATTTTTCTAGATATTCCTTTAAATTTCTGATGGGTCTAGTCGCTAGTGTTGGTGAATTACAACGATGAATTAGTTGACAATTTGGTTAAACATGATTCAATTAAAAATGAACGGGTTGAGCGTATAATGAGGTTTTCTTTGATTTTTCATTTTAAAAGAAATAATGTTGTTTGTAGATTTGTTGATCGAGGCAAATTTATGCCAGAAAATGGAGGAAAACGTTTATAAAGATTCTGCTTGGAAATCGGATTTGGGATTGCCTGGATTTTTACATATTTCTGCTCCGTGCATTTATGCAAATGTATTTTTTTAAAAAGATTTTTGGGGTTTAATTAAGAATTTGGTGGTTTTATGAGTTTTCATGAATTTTTTGGTGCACCAAGCTTTTCCCTTTTGATTGATTTTGGTGGGAGAGAGCTTGCCGAAATACCAAACTGTGTAAATGACGCCGTAATACCAAACCCCCAAAGGCCTGAAGATCCCATTTTTTCCTCCCTAAGTGTTTTCTTATATATTTGCAGAATGGTCAACCTTTTCCTTTCTTCCATCCAAGGGGAATAAAACTTAATTCCTTTTAATTGTTTGTAGACAAAATATAGAAAGTTGATTGGAATGAGAGGAAGAAGTCTGATCATTCTGTAGATATATAGGAAAAAACTTGGGGAGGAAAAAAATGAGGTCAGTCAGGTTCAATATTTCAGGCTGCTGAAATACCGGGCTTATACCGAATTGTTCATTTCAAAATTTCCATGAAGTTTAAAAATCAATATAATTTTCAGGTCCTCGAACATATTGATTTACAAACAGGACAGTCTTTTCTGAATATTGGATCTGGTACGGGTTATCTCAGCACTATGGCAGGCTTCTTTTTAGGTTTCTTTTCTAACTTTTCTCTTTCTTTTATATTTTTATTTTTTAGAAGAAAATGGAATCAATCACGGAGTTGAACTTTATGGTATTTTTAAATATTTTAATTCAAAATTTAATTAATTTGCTTATAGAAAATGTTGCCGATTATGCAGCTGAACGCATTTCTTTGTTTCAATCATCTCCTGAAGCTTGTGCTTTTGAATGGTACGTGTAAAGACAAAGCACTGTCCACACAAGAGCAAATCTTGGGCATAGGAGTTATAGTCCCATGTATAAAGGACCAAATAGCCGTGAAGTCTAAAGATGTTAAGAAAGCATAAAATCGACATAAATTGAATTTTAGAGATTGGAAATTTTAACAATACCTTAACGATGATGCGTGATTCTGGTTGGGGACATTGAACAGATTTTGACCTTGAGTTGAGAAAAATAGCATGACAGAGTAACATTGAAAAAGTGCCTTGCTCTTGACTCAGGATCCAGGAAAAATCAAGTTCTGGATCAAGTTAGAGGCCGATCTCTATCGAATTTATAATATCAGTAAAAATCAACGAGGTTTTTACTCTAATGTCTGGACAGTGTTTTGGCCCTTAATTCAATAGTTTTCAACTTTTCTTAACTTTTTTAATTTTTTAGGTGTTCCCCAACTTATCTTGTTGGAAATGCTTTTCAACTTGAACAAAACACTAATAAATATGACAGAATTTATTGTGGTGCTTTAGTCCCATAATCTCATCGTGCTTATTTTTGCTCATTTTTAAAAGAGGAGGGAATTCTCGTTATGCCGTATGGACATTCGGTTTAAAAAATTTTTTTTGAATTTTATTGCTTTAGGAGTTAGGTAAGAATAGGATGTGCACATGACTTGTTAAAATTAGGGTTAAACCCCCGTCTCCGGGGAAGGGAATTCCCCGGCGAATTTTATTTAGATTTACGCGTACTTTAATCATTTTCAAGATTCCCGTGGGGAAGCTTGAAGGGCCCCCGAACTCGAATACCCCCACAAACCCCGTTCCCCGTACGATCAGCCCCCGGCCCGTAAAATTGAACACTAGTTAAAATTGGACGTATTCTCAGAAAATTTTTTGGTATTCGCGTTTCGTGTCTGGCCAGTTAGAGGATTAAAAATGAAAAAAACAGGGGTCGGGGTTTGGAAAGAAAATTTGCGGATCGGGTATCGGGTCGACAAGTCCAGGTTTCTCGGATAATTTGTGACATCCCCTGGTTCCAAGCGTGTATCCAACAAGAAGGCGTTGAAGGAAGGAAAAATAATTTAAAAATTTCTTTTATTTTTTTCCAGCTTCAACGTGTTATTCGTAAATCAGAAAAATTGTTTAAAACTCGTGATCTAACAAATAAGTGCAGTTACATTTTCTCATTTAATTCCTGTAAATATCGATGACAATTCTCTTTCAAATGATATGTTTCGCTTCCACTTTTTCAACCTACTTC